GTTTGTGTGTATTGTGTTTGTTTCCCGGGGAAAACCCTCACGAGAAACACCGGCTGTTGTTATGCCTGCTGTGGCGTTAAGTTATTCCGTTCTCCGCTTGTAATTATGCCGTTACAAGCTTCAAAGTTGTATTTATCATCTGAATTTGCCGAAACAAGTTTAATATTCTGAAAGCCAAGAGTTTGTTTTAATTGAAATCAGATGAAAACAAACTGTAACGGACCCTGCCGTGTTATTTATGATTACTCTACGCCTTACATTCATGTCAGCCGGAGGGAGGGGGGGCGACGCTGCGGAAGAGCAGAGTGGCGAGCTGTCATCTTCCCTTTACAAGCTTCAAACATGTATTTATCGTGTAATTATGGAAATAAAAGCTTCATATACTGAAAGCCAAGACTTTGTTTATTTCTAATCAAACAAAAACACACAACACAAATACATGTTTATTTTTAAATGAGCCGTTGCGACTTCCGACTGATTTCGATAGAGCGGGTCATATATTTGTTGTACTCAAAAATATTTAATTAGAAACAGTTTTATAACCTTAATTATTCCATAAAAAGGCTCGTTATTCAGCGGAACAGTCATTTATGCAACACATTTGCGTAGAAAAGAAGAAAGACAGCCAAGGGTTTTCCAGGGAATTAAATTATTTTATTAGAATGAGAACAATCTTCTAATGACAGGAACTGATAAAACCAGATGGTGTTTCTACAGAGGATTGTGTCCGTCCGACTCACGGTAAGTCAGAAGCAACAGTTCCATCTTCTCCTTGTTGATTTCTGTTTTTAAATATACATTATTAGCAGCCCTGTGCAGAGCAGCAGGCGGGAAACATAAATATAGAAAACTGCTGAGTGCACTGTGGAAGTTGGGCGGCGGGGGGGGTTTAGATGTGTCACCTGCGGCTCAGTGGCGGAATAAAGTGAGGGGGTTACTCTGTGAGGCCGAGCTTCTTCTTCAGAGACTCTGGCATCTCGGGGGGGGCGGGGCGGGGCAGGCGGAAGTAGACCTTGACGGAGTCGTAGATGAACCACTGCAGGGCGGTCAGAGTACCGATCATGATGATACGGGCAACCAGACCCTTCCACACACCTGGAGACACACAATACCAGATTGATGAATCCATACATCATGCTGTATGAGACCAGTATCTAAACACTGATATACAGAATACTCTATAATATACCAATCTACTAAACAAGTGTACTTTATACAAACATTTTATTTTAAACAAAGCATATCATTCATCTAGTTTAAGATGAGCAGAGTGTCCGTCCACCAGGCTAGCGTCACTGGGGGCTCCCTGTCTGTAGAGGACAGGGCTGCCAGTGCTGCAGTTGGGCTGGGGGACAGGTAGACTGTTCTCACACGCCAATGACTCAAGCACCTCCAACTGTACAGCCAGAAAGCTGCCGAGGGGCTCCGTTCAGAGCCCCTCCAGAGGTGGATCTAAGGAGCGTGTTGACAAAAGCCTCATGTAACACTAAGCTAGTTCTGATACATGTGTGACGGCGATACATACCTTTGGGTCCCAGCTTCTTGAGGACCTGGGTAGCGGTGCTGCCTGACTCCTTGTTCAGTACAGACACCACAGAGTCAGCAGGGTGGGACACGATGGCACAGAACACACCAGCTGCACAGAGCAAAAAGAAACACATCAGAGAACAGTCTGTAGATCAGCTGCAGTATCAATGTACTAGAATTATACAAGACTGATATCAATGTAAATACCTAGCAATTCAAGTCAAAATATTCTTATATACCCGAAAATTGTTTGAAATAACTTATTTGTTACCGTTTCATTAACTAGACAGACATTGGTTTTTCTAGCTTACAAAGCATTATGATGGGTTTGTGATGCGTTACTCACCAATATAACCGGCAATGAAGGTGACCACCAGCTGTTCAGATTTGGTGCACTCGCTACGGGGCTTGGGGACAGCGTGCTTGTAGAGCAACTCCACGGTGCGCTCGAAGCAGGAGAACTTCATCATGGTGTAGGGGATCTGCCTCATCCAGAGGGGAACCACACCCTTATAGAAACTATAGGAAGTGGGAGATGTGTGACAAACTGTGTTAACATGTGATCGGTGGATTCTCCTTGCGGTTCAAACCCATACGTGTTGAGTTTGTCTGGTTTAGCAGAAAGGAAAACAAAGACTGATATTCGAGAACATTCACCAGTACACTGCAGTGATTGGCTGGTTCACTATTACTCATTTTCTTTAGCTGGCAGGATGACACATGATTAAGTCGCAAAGTCTCATCTGAGGACATTTTTAATTACTTGAATTACTTTAGTACATGGCTCAGCTATGAGAAACTACGGCGTCATGCTCCCCGAATCGGTGCTTTTTCAATTACTAGCTTTAAGGTTTTTATTTTATTCTACACATGTTGGACCTGTGTCGCCAGCACAGAATTGTGTCTTAATCACAAATACTCGTGAAGAGTATTATACCTTCAGTTTGTTCAAAAAATTAAAAAACTGTTTATTTGGCAAGTGAATGTTTATAAATCTGGAAACAGTTTTTAAGTGCAAATCTTTCAGATTTGTTCACTTTTTACTGACCTCTTTTACGCAGAGACAAACTGAACAGTTTACATTTCACAGTTTTTCAGTCAGGCTCCCTAACCCTGATTCACATGTTGATATTCAAAATAACCACACACACATGAATGCTTTCTAGTTTTGTGCAGTAACAATAAAGTGTGTCCGTCCACCAGGCTAGCATCACTGGGGGCTCCCTGTCTGTAGAGGACAGGGCTGCCAGTGCTGCAGTTGGGCTGGGGGACAGGTAGACTGTTCTCACACGCCAATGACTCAAGCACCTCCAACTGTACAGCCAGAAAGCTGCCGAGGGGCTCCGTTCAGAGCCCCTCCAGAGGTGGATCTAAGGAGCGTGTTGTCAATAATTAAAGCCCTAATAAAACACCCTATATTGGAATAACTTGGCAGCCATTCAACCTCACTGACAGTGACTGATAAAAAAATGGATTACGGAGAAAAAGTTGGTGCACTTACGCCCAGACGCCCTCCTCTGCGTACATCTTGGGGACACACTCTCTGAGGGTGTTGGCGTAGCCTGGCTTAGTTTGAATGCGAACTTTAACAGCCTCCATGGGAGCCAGAGCAATGTCTGCAAAGAACTCTGCGCTGGCTGAGGCCGCCAGGTACAGCGATGTCCTCCACAGGTAGGTGTTCTCCTGTTTGGTGTGAACACAAAAATAATGGTCAGCCAGATCAGAACACAGACACCCTGCAAAATTCCCATCCTTCACTCAAGCGCAGAAAAAAAGAAGATTGCCACAAAAAGTAAATACTCTCATTTTTTGGGTGAAACGTCCTTATAGCAGCTAAATACACTAACTACCTGCTACCTTGGAAGTTACTCCATTTAACAGTTTTTTTCTCATGCTGTACAGAGAGGGGTATCAAACACTAGTATACAGAACACTCTTTAATATACCAATCTACTAAACAAGTGTATTTTATACATACATTTTATTCAAACAACTAAAGCATTTCATTCATCTAGTTTAAGATGAGCAGAGTGTCCGTCCACCAGGCAAGCATCACTGGGGGCTCCCTGTCTGTAGAGGACAGGGCTGCCAGTGCTGCAGTTGGGCTGGGGGACAGGTAGACTGTTCTCACACGCCAATGACTCAAGCACCTCCAACTGTACAGCCAGAAAGCTGCCGAGGGGCTCCGTTCAGAGCCCCTCCAGAGGTGGATCTAAGGAGCGTGTTGACCAAAGCCTCATGTTACACTAAGCTAGTTCAGGTACATGTGTGACCAGGTTACAGACCTTTGGGTCCCAGCAGAACATTCAAATACATGTACGTGGTGCTAAACAGCCGTAAGCGTATTTAAAGAATATAGGAAGCATACTTTTGCATGTGCAAGTAGCAAATATCAACGTACATGTTTGCACTTTTTATATGAAACATACATTTGGTGATAAACTATACAATGCCATGGTTTGTTACAATAGGTCCTTTGAATCACAAATACAAACAAAGTAGAATCTGTTTCTTCTTTGACAGAGTGGAGGTGTGTGTTGTTGAAAGCTGTATCTGGACTCACCTCTCCCAACAAGTCACTGTAGAAGACCTTAAACACTTCATAGAAGCCAAACTTGCAGAGTCCCTGCATGGAGTAGCCGATGAAGGTGGGGGCCCAGCCCTTTGCCAGTCCCCTCACACCATCTTCCCTCACTGTCAATCTGAAGCCGTTACCGATGCTCTTGAACTTTTCTGGGTCCACCTGAGAAGGAGAATCCAAAGTGATGAAGCATGTCATCATGGTGGGCAATTCTTGGGTCTGGAGTTTGACGCTGTTTAAGATTATAAGATAGGAAGTAATTGGTATGGACCCAAACACAAGTTACAAATAACAGTTTTACTTGTATGTTTCAAGTGCTTGGACCCTTGAATCTATAATAGCAAAAAATATATATCATGGTTTGGAAATCCATCATTAGGACCTATGCATTAAGCAATGTCAACAAAAGTATGGGATAAGTGAATGTATACCGTTTAACAATGTTGTGCACAACTAGTGCTTTACTGAAATACATGAAGCCAAGGGGCTGAGGGGGGGGGAGCTGCTGCTACGTGTTGTTTCTGTACAAACCTGCAGGCGACACTTGACAAGGTCGAGGGGCACCATTGCTGTGTGTGTGAGGCCGCAGCTCAGGATACCCCCAAAACCACACAGGGCATAGTACTTTGAGGAGCCAAACACGACGTCTGTGGAAGGGAGGGGGGACACATGCATGCAACATGCAGCACATGATCAAGATCAACACCAAACCAGAGCCACAAAATGGAAGAGTTTTCAATGTAAAATAAGAATTAAGTGACAGGACTCTTCCATTGTGTGATGCTCTGCCA